TGGGCTGCCATCAATAGAAATCAAGCAGATCTACATTTGAAAAAAAATTAATACCTTAAATTTCACAGCTCATATCTTGATTAATTTTAAAGATATCTTAATGATTTAATATTCAAAAGAAAGCTTAGATCGAAGCTTTCTTTTAAATATTAAATCATCAAGATACCTTTAAAATTAATCAAAATATGAGCTGTGAAATTTAAGGTATTAATTTTTTTTCAAATATAGATCTGCTTGATTTTTATTGATGGCAGCCCATATATAGCTGCCTGAGAAGACGTTTGCTTTATAATTTTGATATGCAGTTTTAATGAAGATAATCATAATACTAATGATAAATCATTGGCTAATAGTATTGTTGAAGATGATTGTAATAATTGTAATCATTTCATAATATCAACAGCTGAAAACAGATGCGACAAATCAGATAATGCTTTCACATTTAATAATGTATCAGCTTTTTGTTTTTTTCTCCAAGCTGTTGTTCTTGACGTTCTAGTATATAAAGATCTCTTACGTTTTAATTCAGCAATCTCTTTCTGTATTATTAGAGTTTCTTGTATAACTTCATCTTCCACTACTTCTATTTGTAGTATTTCTTTATTCATCATTTCTGCTTCTTGTATAATTCCTTGCGATGTATAACGATCTTGTTTTCTGGTTAATGTATTTATTTGTTGTTTTCTTTTATTAGGATGTGGTATTTTATAATAACAGTTAATAAACCAATTTTTAATAATAATTAAAGACTAACTTTTAACAATTTTTCAGATTTTTTATTCAGGCGTTTGAGTCTTATTTTATATTTTTGCTAGAAGTTCAAGTCAAATTTAAGTAGTTTGTAAAGAAAACAATTATAATAAAAAACAAAAACAAAAAAAGAATCTTAAAAACTTATTAATTTAATATGTAGCTATCTTATTTGTAATTTATTTGTTCAGAAGTAATTTAGAATAATATTGACTTAAATATTTTGTATATAGTGAATCTTGGGCAAAAATTATATACAATTACAAAATGATTTAAATTATGATTTAAATCAGATTTAAGTATATGTAATTTTTATCTTGATGCATAAAATATTTTCAGTGTATATTTATAAGAACAATAGTTAACTGCAATATAATATTAAGATCTATAACAATTAAAGTAGTAATAGTACCCAGGTTGGTATCACCCGGGTTATCTGCAGATAATCAGATATCCAAGTTATGAACTCAGTACCTGAATAAGCATATCTGAATTGAATATCCAGGTTGAATTATCAAAGCTAAATATAAATGCTTAGTGCTGAAGTGTGTTTAGTCTGTGTAAAATCATATACATTTCAAATTACAACATAATCTTATATGTATATTATATAACATAAATTGTAATTTATCATTATGTATCGATTATGCTGAAATCAATAATTAACTGGAACGACTGAAAGATCATTTGGCAAATTTTTATTTACAGCTATTATTATAATTTCTGTGACATCTACTCATTACATGAAATCTTTTTGGTCATTCAGTAAATTATCTAACTCTCTGAAAACTATATCTCTGTCTTTAGACCTTTAGTCCAGAGGCAGTAATGTAATTTCTGGAAAGTTAGATAATTTACAGAATAACCAAAAAGATTTTGGGTAATAAGCAGGTGTTTTAGAAATTATGATAATATCTGTAATTAACTCTACCCAAATACATAGGGTAAGATTTTATATTCAAATATATCTGTCGATCATCCGGTTAATCTGCAGGTTTACCTATCAGATAACTGGGTAGCATTTTTTTGATTGGGTACTATCACTAAATTAAAGAATATACAGACAATGATATATTAGCTATAATAGGATTAGATTAGGGCTTTAGAAATGCAACAAAGGTAGTGATGACAGTTGTATTTCATATTTAGGCTTGTTTACAGATTTCAGTTCAATATAGCCAACCTGATTATATAAAATTTCTTTTGTTTATTAATTTGATTTATATGCGATATTGTACTACCATATTATTGTTTTTATTATGTAAAATAATTGAGGATGCTAATATTAGACAGTTGATACTTGTCAAAATAAATACATATAATTATCACATATATTAAATTATAACATAATTATATTAGCAAAGCATCTGTTTAATTTATATAGTTTATTAATTTAATTTTACAATGATTTTTTTATTTATCTTTACAATATAGAGTTTCGAGGATTATTTTTTTTAAACATTAAAAATCTCTAATTATATTAATGTTTTAAGGTAAAATCAACTTTGATCAAGAATTATGTAAAGTTTGATGCAACAAAACTATAAGTAGCAATCAAAAATTATCAAATACTCATGATGGTAAAAGCTAACCTGTTTATCTCTTGTTTAATAAAATTTAAAATTTGCCAATATCTTTAAATAAATAAATTCAGCAAAAATTAATTCTTTATTTATTTAATATAGTGGCTTTCAATATAATGAAAGCCTGATACAGTATAAATAAATTTAAGTCCAATCTATGTGCATTTGAACCCTCTCAATAGACTCTTGGTACAATTAATTTTAAAAATTTTGTTATTATAGTATAATTCTTTTTATTATAATATACTTCAAGACATTCGTCAGATTTATATACTATATTAACAGCATATTATAAATAACAAGTTTTTTGCAAAGACCTCTATGAAGTAAAGTAATGATACAGTCATAAGAATAAATAAAAATGCTCTAATTAATAAAGCCTGTATATAATCTAATACTTTTTGAGCAAATAATAGAAGTGCTATCATGATATTAATGAAAAATATAATTGCTTAGTTAACATTAAAATTTTTGACTATTCAAACTAATATATATTGGCCAATCAAATATTAAGAAATACTTACATGATTTGCTTCAATATCATAAAACTTAGAAATTTCAAATCGCTAAAACTTTTTATATAAGCAATATTTCAAAAATCTGACCAGTAACTTTATTCTTTATAATAAATTTTACAAAGTTATCAGCCAGTTTGTTGAAATTTTGCTTGTATAAAATGTTTTAGCAATTTGAAAATGATTGATTTTTTGATCATGTGACTGGTGATTATAGATTTCCATAACTATATTAATTAAAAAAATTCCTTGCAAAATTTTGCTATAAACTTTTCCTGCTCCTATTCTAAACTTACCTTTACTTTAACCTTAGCTAATGTTTAACTTTTCATTCTACACAAATTGTTTTGATTTATACATTATACAGATTTGCAAATTAATATCTGTATATAGATATCCTATATACAATTAGTTATTTTCAATTTTATATATTTTTTATTTTATTAAAAAATGTTAATTAATATTGTTATCTTTTTTAAGAACTTATATATATATATATATTTTTTTTTGGTGTTAAGGTGGGATCTTGCCTATAACTTTATTTATTAATAATACTTTTACATATACTACTACATTTTTTATATTATATATATCAAGTACACCAAGCTCAGACCTGGATCCTATTGGTAATCTATACTCTGGCTGAAACTATTACTTGCATGATAGGTGTTTTCATCTGCTACCGACTATTAATCCAATTATCTGCAATCCAAACCTAGAACTTATATATATATACAGTAATCTTCTTGTAATAAACCTTTTTATAATTCTACAGTTATTTATAATATCTTACTTTACAATTAAATCTTTTTTTAAAAATTTTTATTCTAATATTAGTTTTATATACTAATTTTAACATCTGAGCAATCAAATTTAGATATTTAATCAATCAAATTTAGACATTTAAGCAATCAAATTTAAACATCTAAACAATTAAATTTAGATATAGTAGCAATAAACCATTAGCAAAATCAATATTTTTAATATATTATGGATTAAATACAATATATCTTCTAATTATATCTTATCTATTACAATCTAGATAAGTCTTTGACTACTCTAGTAGATTTAGGTCACAGATAAAGTAATCTGAGCTTTTATTCTTGTATATAGTTTTTACTTTTTATATCTTATATATTTAAAGGTTAATAACTCTCTGCAGTTACTATTTTAAAAAACTATTAATAAAGATACGAGCAAGGCTTTACCTTAATATCAAAAAAAAATATAATAGCAATCAAATTCATATATCTTAATAATTAAATTTGATAGTAATATCTTATTATCTAGTATCAAAATAATAAAATTTTTATTCAACTTATCTAGTTCTAATGAAATAAATAGTACCAAAATTATATGATTCTAATCACTAGATAATAAGATATTGCTATTCAAATTTGATAGTTAAGATGTATGAATTTAATTGCTACTGTACTATGTCTGAATTTGATTGCAACTATATTCAAATTGGATTGCTTAGATGTTCAAATTTGATTACTCAGATATTTAAATTTGATTGCTCAGATGTTTCAAATTGGTATACAAAACCAATATTATACTTGTATTTAAACTTTGCTATAGGGCTTTGTATTTGATTATAACTTCTATAAATTATAAAAACAAATACCAGTTTGTTTCCAACCTAACTCAAACTATTGACCTTATCTGTGGAGATTGGAAGCTTAACTATTAAGCTATAGGTCCTAAACTCAGTAATTTTTTTTTTCAACTTTGGCAGTCTTACCAGTGATCCTTTATTAATATTGTCTTGTTACAGGTGTGACAAGATACTTTAAGCTTAATATTTAGGCCTGACATCCCATAGTTACTTCTAAGAGCACTTTCAAGCAACCTGTTGCACTAGGCAGATAAATCTACAAGAGACATATCATGATAAATCTGAAGATCACCTATTTTAGAAAGTTATATTAAACCACCTCCCTACAATAGGATATCACCAATCTGACAACATCTTCTCATAGGGAAGTGAAAAAAAAGAAAAAAATACTAACACTAATACTAATACTAAAAAGGAGGAAAAGGAAAAAACGAAAGAAAAAAAATCTGATAATCACAATTATAAGCCTGTGTCAGGCTAACAAAAATTATATATTACAAGATAAAGAATCTCTGTATCTAACTCTATCCTAATAATATATCTAATTCACACTAGAAAAAAAAGAAAAATAGTAGATTTAAACTAGACTAGATAGAGTAGTATATAAAAAAAATATCAATAGTCTTAAAATATTGTTTAAAAAGTTTTTTTCGGTCGAAACACGTTATCTAATTGTATTTTTCTTTGGATATGTTTGGTTGCTTAATCTGGCCATTCATCGATTTGTGTTTATTTAAAAATAAACAATCCATTTTAGGAGAGCCAACCCATTTTGGGTTAGATAAACAATACTGACTGTTTTAGAAAATTACATGTTGATCTTTTGGAGAGGATAAGCTGAGACGCCCACTTTTTGACAAAATTTTTTCAAAAAAAGTGGTAAGTCAACGAAACTTTGTAGGTTTTTCCTTGTAAGTTTTACAGTTGTATAAGGACTATCTCCAGTTTTTTTAATATGCTTAGTATCAATCTAGTCATTCTGTATTCCCAGAATATCCTTCTGGTTTGGATATCAAATATAATAGAGGAGTCTGCTAACAAGGAAGCTTGACCTTTACAAAAACCATCCAAAGTAGTCTGCTCCTCAGTTTTACACTCTTGATACTTTGTCGACAATACACCTACTTGTATAGGAATAAGTATATTATCACCCTTTGATGTCTTCTATAACGCTGACTGTAATTCAGATTTGGACTTGTTGACCAAAGGATTGTCAGAAAGAGTTTTTGATTCCAAACCCAGTAATTTAATTTTTTTTTTATATATAAATCATATAATATATTTACTATAATCTATGGTTTGCAACAATATATATAGTATAATAAAATTTTAATTTTAATACAATATATAGCAGCTATAGTAATCTCAAAATAAAACAAATATAGTTTTTTTTTTTTTTTTGAATCTTAAGGTGAGGCCATGCAAATATAGTTTTTTTTTTTTTTTTTTGAATCTTAAGGTGAGGCCATGCAAATATAGTTTTTAAGTATTTACTATACTAATACTACATATTATAATTATATGATCCCATTAAGATCTTTTATATAAAAATCAAAACAATATAAAAATTTACCAGCCAAAGACCACCTTAACAATAAAAACTTTTTCAATAGAAATGCTTTCATACATTTTATATTTTATTAATTTAACATGACTACTGATATTTAAACAATAACTTTTTAATAGTAAGAGAAAATAACTTGATACGATTGATAATTTGTACTTGTTTTGAATCTTTAATCTTCGTTTCTATAGCTAAGGATGCCAATTACCTTGCGGGTGAATCTCGGTAGCATTTTAATCATGGTTCGAGACTGAGAATTTGATAATAGCCACGAGTAATTCATTTATCAATTAACAATAAAAGACTACATAACTGATAAGAAATTGATTTTTATTAAGGATTTCTCTGTTAGGCACTTCTCGAATTTTGAAGAAAACTTGGTCGAAAAGTTTATTATTCATGATTCGAAGGTTTATAATTATTTTCACTTATTGTATACATTCCGATATAACAATTGACCTAACATATCAATTTATTTAACATATCCTACTTAGACGCTAAATCACTCTTAGGTTCTTAGTTTAAAAATGAAAACGAAGTTTTAATAATTTATAGCATTGATTTAATAAACTTAACCGACTTTTTAAATTTGATGCTATTAACCAAAAATGGGACATATATTTGGGTTTTATTTATTATCCCAAATGAAGTAGAAATCCCGATGCCCAAACCCAACTACGTAATAATGTTATCATTCAAAAAAAGGTTTGGGTCGCAACCCTAATGGCTGCTGAGGTGAAGACATTCCAGAAAACATACTAATTACTCGTTTATAAGGTGAGAGATTTGTATCAGGATTCTTCTTTATTTCTATCAATGTTTTAAGCAGTTGAAGCCTTTCAATCTTTAAACCTTCCAGCTGTTGTGTAAGCTCTTTGACTCTATGTATGACGTTTTGTTAAAAGTAATGCCACAAAATAAGTAATAATCAATCAGTAAATATTAAATCATTTACCTATCCTGATTTACATCTGCAATTGGTCCAATTTTTGTCATTTCTTCCGAGATTAAATTTTCTAATCTTTTATTCCTTTGACCTTCAATCTTATCCGTCACCAAGTTAATTAATTCATTCACACGTTCTTTTCGCATAGGTAAAGCTCGAGTTTTTTCTTTCAACCCTTCAATCATACGATTTGTTTTTTCAAGGTCCTCGCTATTGGATGCTAATTGCGCCTGACACACGGATAATTCTTTCTCTTTTACTTGTATTTGATTAACGTACATATCCTTAAAATCTCGTAAAATAGTGTTGGCGTCTTGTAATAGGAATTCTACTCGGCTAGCACCTGTAGGAACAACTACCGGCGTGGACGGTGTACTATTTACATGATTTTCGGTGTTGTTAAAAGGTTGATTTTGCACCCGACTTTGTTCTGCTCGAAATTTTGCGTCATGGTCTAATTCTAATATATAATCTTCGGCATTCTTTCCCACTAAATTTCTAATTTGTGGATCCCCTCCAGAATCAACAAGCAGTTTGACAAGTCGCTTATTTGCAGATCTGGCAGATATGTTAAGAGCAGTATCACCAGTGTCATTTTGCTTATTGATAATAGTTCTACGGTATTCTTCATTAGGATGCTGAGCTAACGTTGAAAGTATAACTTCCATATAATATCTCGATGGACCAATTCGACCTTTAGTAGTGGCGTAAATTGCTATATGATGCAATACCGTCTGGTCGTGAATATCAAGATTACCAATTGTCCTTATCAAAAGTTGTACTATATCATGAAAACATCTGTTTTCATAATTATATTGAAACATGACGCTTCTCATCAGGGCAGTTTCTCCGTGAACATTGCCACGGTCAGGGTCTGCTCCTGCCTTTACCAATAGCGAGGCCATGTCATAGTTTGCCATTGCTGCAGCCCAATGGAGTGCGGTATGGCCTTGTTGGTCAATTATAATATTGGCATCAAAATCTGATGGCGGGTGTAAAATAAACTCCGGAATAGCATCAGAGTTTGTCGTGAAATATGTTAACATAAGACTGCCGTATTCTACTGCGTTAGAATATTGCTGCACTGTTTTCGCGACTTTGTTTGGACGGCCACCTGTGTCTGCTTGCTTACGTTTTCTCTTCTGTTTTTGTACAGTTGTGACGGTTGGAGTCTCATCTGATTCTGATAAATCATTTGATGATTCAATTGGGGCAGGTGATGCAGATAATGAGTATGGCGATATTGATGCGTTAGACGATGCAACACTGGCTATATCGGCAGTTTCATGATCGGTGTCCACAGACATATTTTCCGCCTCGGCTTGTGGTTCTGGCTTCTTGATCTTTTTAGGAGGTCTTGGCTTTATTGGCTTGGGCTCTTTAGGTTCACGTGGTTTACGTGGCTTATTTGACGCGGCAGTAACGTGCTTTGGTGCTAGAGGTGGACTTTCCGATGATGGTTGAAATTCAATTATCGGTTGTAAAAGTTCCTTTACGTGATATCGTTCTGCTAGGTCGACACCTGTTTGATATGGCACCCATGTTCCTATTCAAATAAATAAATATATACATATTTTTTTAACATTTGATTAATTATTTCTAAATATATTTTCTTAAGATTAACTAATATTTAAAGTCAGTCATTATAATTATATATGATCATTAAAGCCAACACGCCAAATCTCAAGAATGTTTATAGATTATACATATATTAAAAAGTTATGTACCCTGATATTTTCCATAACCGCCTTGAACTTTTTCGTGTTCACCCTTTTGGACTTCGCGTTCTAAAATACGGGTCCTATGAGGTTTATCAAATTCAGCAACCTTTAAGATTTGTGTAGCATTGAGCCACGAATCTGTCTTCCTGCGCATAACCGCAACGCTTCGAACGCTTCAGTAAGTGTGAAAATTGACATCGTAAAAGCAATAGAAAATTTTGTTAAAATTTCGAACAAAATATGGTAAATACGATTAGGGCACACAATGAATATAACGCCAACCGAAACTCCCAAACTGGAACGCCAGAGTATGTTGCCTTATAAATTTGCGAAGAAGGATCAGGCTCAGTCACTTGAACTGGAGCTTCAATCTCTGTCGCCATCTTTTTTTCCTTGTCGTTTTCGAAACGTGTGAAGACGTGAAATATGAATAACACGGGGACAAAAACGTTTCAATAATATTGCATGTCGTGTTTGTGATCAAAATTCTATTGATTATAAATGTAACAGATGTGATGTGATATAATTTAATATCTCATGACGTATTATAAATCTGTAATCGATTCATTATTTCGATAATAATAGGAAACTATAAACTTGATTATGATTTCTATATATGCATTTTTATTATATATTTAGAATAGGTATTCTTTTTAATACGTATATATACAGTATATATATATACAGTCTTCCTCCTCTATAATCACACAGTTTGTATCAAGAAAATTGGTGATTATAAAAGAGTGTGATTATATAGAAGTCTTTTTTTATAAGTTTTTTAATAAATTGTCTCAAAAATTAATGTGATTATATGGGAGTTGTGATTATATAGGATGTGATTATAGAGGAGGAAGACTGTATATACAGTATATATCTGATATATATATACACGATATATATATACGTATACACATACGTAAATATATCATATATATTTGAAAATTATAAAAATTATAATCTCATATTCGCGGATTTGGTACGTACGTACGTACGTATATCAGTCAAGGAAGATGTCACGCTGTGTGATAAATTATAATAAAATTATAATAAAAACATATAATCTTTAAACTCAAGATTCTTTTCAACTTGCAAATTAATTTATTTTCGAATAAAATTGCTTAAACCGATTTTTTAAAATTTTGTTAAAAAAGATTTTACTATTGTAGACGCCACTCAAAGCCAACATATTTTTATATATAGGTGCCAATTTTTTTTAGCTGTTGTGTAATATAATTAACCAATTTTGTTAATAAAATTTAAATTTTTAAAATTTTGTTATGTTTTTTTATATATAAGCGCCAAAATTTTAAATTATATATAATATAACTTTTTAAATAATATAAGTCTAAAAATATAAAATATTAATCAATTTTTGTAAATTTGATAGTTTAAACAAAAAGCTATTAGTTTATTTTATTTTAGAAAATTATAAGAAATTTAAAATTTTATAATTAAAAGTTAATATTTTTTCATAATAGCAACTGTAGTAAAATATTATAAAAAAAAAGATCCACTACTTTTTTTTTTTTTTTTATCTTTGCAATGTTGCGAAAAGGTGAATTTTTATTAGGTATTTTATAGTATATTCTTGGTTAATGAGAATACATTTAGCCATATATACAACTTTGGTTGCTTATTTAAGTAGTTTATCTGAAGGTTCTACACTATATACTATATTTGTAATCTAATTAGAAGATTATCTATTTAAACTCTCTGATGTTTTTTATCCTACACCACTACAATTATACTAGCTTATGACTTTGTGCTGTTTCAATTGAAGGTCATTCAGATCGATATGTATTATACTACTTGTGCTCTAATTCTATAGATAACCTAGTAGAGTTTTCATACTACTGAGTTGTTCTAAAAGAGGTATAGTACATACCCTTTAATCTTTCTATGTTTGATACATTTCCAGATTAGTATTTGAATACTTTTTGCAATAGTTGAAACTATCACTAGCAGTCAGAGCTAACCATTAAATTGCATAATTCTAGTGTTCGGTACCTTTACAAGATTTGTTCTAATTTTAATACTCATATCAAACTGATCTTTATACCGATTCCTTCTAAACTACCAAATCAGTTAACTCAGATTGGTCATTGTATCTAGGCTTTAAGTACCTTTTAGTTTTACTTTTCTTGGTTTCTAATTCTATAATATAGGATATTTTTCTTTGATATGATTCTAGTAGTTAGGTTGGTGAATCCTTCTTGCATCAGGGTTTTCATCTGATTCTTTGATCTCTGGTTTTTCAGTTTTTCACAGTATTATCAAAAATCACTACCTCCTTGTTTAAGTCTTGCCAAATAGGTTTCAATTATTCTGATTTTTTGAATTTGTATTATCTAAAAGCTTCTATTTCGAGATGGTAATATCAAGATTACAGGTAATATACCCAACTAATTATCAAATAATTGTTACTAATATACAGGTCTATTTTTTTAAAAACATTTCTAGTGGAATTTGAATTCTAGACCTGCCATTTGAAGATAACAACTTAACTACTACTCTAAGTTACTACACTCTTGATCTATTAATTTTAAAAATATAATTATATGTAAAATTTATATTAAACAAATTTACTTTAAAACAAAAATAGAATGCCTTAATTAAAAAATTAAATTTGCTAAAAATTAATTTCAAAATTTTAAGTTTATCTATACTGTTATAGTATTATGGTCTTTTTATAGTATTTATTTATTTTTTGTTTATTTTATTTAGCAACTTTAATAACAACTATCTATTATAATTACTACTATTTTTTTTTTGTAACAAGATACTTAAATCTTTTATTACTTATTTAAATTATGAAAGATAAGTTTTTATTACTAGTTTATAACCCATGACTTCACTATGGAAGTTGTATATAATTAATATAATAATTGATTGTTTTTTAAAATAATAAATATATTTAGAGATCTGCTAATATCATCTCCACTTTTACTAATATTACTCTTATATAGTCTAACTATTATAATAAATTTTAGTTATACAATTTGTATAATAAAAATAACAAATTAAATTATAATATTAGACTAACTTTAACCCTAAATCTAACTTAATTTAAAGTTAAAATTAGAAATAAAGGCTAGCTAAACTATTTGAAGGTGGTATTAACAAAAATAGAGTGTGACATTATATTTATATTATATAATATTTGCTATATAGTTTACAGTATTTTATAAGACAACTTTATATTAGTTTAAG